CTGTGTTTGGCAAAACAGTATTACAGCCCAAAGGGGAATGGTTGAGGACAGATAACTTGGCCAAATCGCCCTGGCTAGAAAAGCAAGGAGATTGCATCAAACTCACTCCAAAAGCCTATCAAAGAACTTGATACTGCTTTCACTCTCTTAGGTTTTACTTCTTGGTCCGTACCGGTAGCTGATGAGGTTTAGAAATAAGCAAATGTATCTGCCTATACTGAAGGGAAGAAAATAAGTCTGCTATGGCACCAGTTCAACACATTGTACCAGCAGTTGAGATAAACAATTAGGCGGTATATGCTTAATAGTAAATCAGAAATGACATGCATGAAAACATGGGGATGCAACTTGAAAATATTGGAAAAATGAGTCATCTAAGTTTGCAGAACCAATCAGATCTTTGACTGATACACATTGTAAGTTCCAGTTGCTGGATACCACTTATCCATGTGATCAGGGGCATCTGAAATGATGAATGGCTCATGTTCACACAGTTTCCAATGCTTGATTTCTGAAATGATCAACTATTTATTAGCTGTAAGGTAAGGGCAATGAAATATATGATCTTCTCCCGTCCTTAGAGATGTTAAAATTCATTTATGGTACTACAAAGATTATGACATGCAATAAAAGTCCTAAACTGTGTAATAAAACCCAAGGTAGGATTTTGTTTATTGTGTGTTAGTAATGATATTTAAAGAGAAATTAACATTTTGCTAAGCAAATATGTTAACTATGCAATAATTTTAATTTTAATTATGATTAATTTTATAAGCATTTACTTTTCTATTTACACATACACCTCTTACAAATTCAAATAATAAAAAATGATATTTTTAATCTGTACTCAGGAATAGATAGACATATGTTTTATATAAAGAGAGTGTATTTCAACGTGGCAAAACCCCTTCTGTACTCAAAACACAAAAATTAGCTGGGCAAGGTGATGTGCACTTGTGGTCCTAGCTACTCAGGAGGCTGAGATGGGAAGATCACTTGAGGCCAGGGGACAGAGGTTGCAGTGAGCTATGATTGTGCCACTGCCCTCCAGCCTGGGTGACAGAGCAAGACCCGGTCTCAAAATAAGAAGTAAAATAACAATTAAAATAAAATAAAAACAAGTGTATAGGTCAGCTGGATGCAGTAGCTCATGCCTGTAATCCCAGCACTTTGGGAGGCTGAGGCAGGAGGATCACTTGAGGCCAGGAGTTCAAGACCAGCTGGGGCAACACAGAGAGACCACGTCTCTACAAAACACACACACAAAATTAGCCAGCGAGGTGGTACATACCTGTATTCCCAGGTACTTGAGAGGCCTGAAGTGAGAGGATCCCTTGAGCCATCGCATACAATTTGCAGCCACGAAGAAGAGAGCACAGACTTCAAAGCCTCCATTAACTCAGCGAACCTGTTCCCTAGCACATGGACACATACACAAAGACTTATAGTCACGTCATATGCTTATGGAAGCCGGCATTTCTCCTTGGGGGTAGCAAGGGATGAGCTTTTCATTGTCACTGTGGCTTCTCAGTTTATACAAGTCAATGCCTTTGAACAAGGGCTGAGACCAGGATGGAATCCATTCTACCTCCCTCTTTATAATTGTGGCATTTAAAAAATTATTTTGTACAGATGGGATCTTGCTATGTTGGCCAGGTGGTCTCAAACTCCTGGCCTCAAGTGATCCTCCCACCTCGGCCTCCCAAACTGCTGGGATTACAGGCATGAGCTACTGTGCCTGCCTAAAACAATGCCATTTTTAAGATGAGGTGCACTTAAAGAAAGGGTGTATTTGGTGAACGAAATAAGTACCCTCCAAAGATGTCCAGGAGCTCATCCCTGAAACCTGTGAACATGTGAGATACAAGGCAAGGGAGGAAATGAGTTGGAAGGCGCCAATGACAGGTACCAATCAGCTGATCTGAAATGTGGATATTATCCTGGGTTCTCTGCGGGAGTCCAGTGGAATCCCAGGAGTCTTTCTAAGTATAAGAGAGAGGCAGGAGAAAGGAACCAGAGAGACAGTGACATGAGAAGGATCCCCCAAAATGCTGGCTTTTAAGATGAAGAAAGAGGCCATGAGACAAGGGATGGAGGGAGCTTTCAGAATCTGAAAAACACAAGAAAACAGCTCCTCCCCTACCACCCACAGAAGGGACACTGCCCACTGACATCTTGAGTTGTAACCCAAAGACACTCATCCCGGACTTTACATGAAACTAGAGAACTGCAAGGCAATAAATGTATGTTTTTACTTTTAATTCTAAACATTTCACTAACTTATTTTAATTGACAAACTTAAATGGTATATATTGTCTACAGAAGGTTGCTTTGAAATATGTCAACATTGTGAAATAGCTACATCAAGCTAGTTGACATCTGCATTACTTCACCTGAGTATAATTTTCTTTGTGGTGAGAACTCTTTAAATCTACCTTCTTAGCAATCTTTAAAAATGTAATACTATCATTAGCTATCATCACAGTGTTTTACAATAGAGCCCTTGAACTTACTCCTCCTGTCTAACTGAAATCTTGTACCCTTTAGCCAACACCTCCCCAACCTTCCACCTCCCCCAGCTCCTGGAAACCACCTCTCTATTATTTGTTTCTGTGAGTTCAACTGTTTTAAATTCCACATAAAAGTGAGATAATGCAGCCAGTGGCTCACGCCTGGAATCCCAGCAGTTTGGGAGGCCAAGGCAGGAGGATCACTTGAGGCCAGGAATTTGAGACTGGCCTGGGCAATACAGGGAGGCTTCATCTCTAGAAAGATAAAACTAATCAAACACCACATGTTCTCACCCAAAGGCAGGAGTTGAACAATGAGAACACATGGACACAGGGAGGGGAGCATCACACACTCTGGGGTCTGTGGGGGGGAATGGGGGAAGGACAGCGGGGCATGAGGAGTTGGGGAGGGATAATATGGGGAGAAATGCCAAATATAGGTGATGGGGAGGAAGACAGCAAACCACACTGCCATGTGTGTACATATGCAACAATCTTACATGTTCTTCACATGTACCCCAAAACCTAAAATGCAATAAAAAAAGAAAAAGCTCTATGTGTATATATATATATATATATATTATTTACATAATATAATTATTATATATGTGTGTGTGTATATACACACACACATACACACACACACACACATATATGCATATTAGTTGGGTGTGGTGCACACACCAGTGGTACCAGCCACTCCAAGGCTGAGGTGAGAGAATCTCTTGAGTCCCAAAAGATCAAGATTGCAGTGAGCTATGATTGTATCACTGCACTCTGGCTAAGCCAGAGTGACACCTGGTCTCTAAAAAAATATGACTTCAAGTACACAGTTACTCATTTGAGGTAGTAAGGGGTGGCATAAATATCAACTGTTCCATCACTAAGTGCATTGTGGCCTCTTTCTCATCCTTCCACTATAGAGTAAATAGTAGTCAGATAGTCCAGTATGTGGAGTAGAACTCACACGTGAGTAGAACTCTGCAGTGCTCATTTTGCCTCTGTAACTACTAAAAGAGATCTCAAATAAAGATCTTCTTAGAAACTTGAAGTAGTACTTAATAGTACTTAGTAGTACCAAGACACGCTTTGGGTAAAAGGAAAATCCTTTATGAAAATGCAAACTTTAGGAATTAAATGCTCCCCACAGGGACTCACTTATTCCTGTATAAGTGATTGTAGGCAGAAAAACAGAATCTGAATGAACTTGTTTTCTTTCTTAAACTTGGAAAACATAGAAAAGATAAGAGTGGTATATAGGGGCCAATTAAAATAAAAAGCACAAGGAAAAATAAGAGGAAGTCGCTCCTCTCCTCCCAATGGGAATGTTGTCTTTTGAACAATTCATGAATGGAATTTCAGAAACTCAGCAAAAGAATACATTTAATTGACTTACTCCAAATATATTCTGAATTTCATATTTACTAAAGTGTTTGCAAAATGAACATTTCTTTTTTTAACATGTTGTATAAAAATTTTTTTACATGTAAAAACATGTACATCTTTTAAACATATTGTTACATGCAAAACATTTTAATATGTTATTACATGTTGTTATATGTTGTTACATGTGAACACTGCACATTAAAAAAAGGAAAGGTAGGTATATTCATCATTAGAGTTTTTAGATGCATGTATACACTTCCATATAATCCATGAATATTAAACTGGAAAAAGAAAGCACTTTACATAATTTACCTTGCAACAGATGTGAAATATTTGTAAGCATACATATATGTTAACAAATTACTTTCATTCAATGCTAAGGGGAGGTATCATTGAATGGTGGACCAAAACAAACTAAGTGACATTTTGATGTCTTTATGGAAATGACTGACCCACAAACCAGTGGCTCAGCACTGATATTAACATATCTTGCTCAGTTGCCTTAATCATTTACAGTAGTATAATTTTTTCAAGAACACAGACAGTAAGGTACTTTTAATAATTTTTAGTATATCTATTTTTTGAAGTCCTACTTTCATTGGAATTACCTCTTTACTGTAATTAGTAAATACAAAAGAATACACAGATAAGATTGGTTTTGTCATCATCTTCTTTTTTTTGAGACAGAATCTTGCTCTGTAGTCCAGGCTGGAGTGCAGTATCGCAACCTTGGCTCACTGCAATCTCTGTCTCCCAGGTTCAAGAGATTCTCCCACCTCAGCCTCCTGAGTAGCTGGGACTACAGTTGCGTACCACCACACCTGGCTAATTTTTTTGTGGTTTTAGTAGAGATGTGGCTTCACCATGTTGTCCAGGCTGGTCTCAAACTCCCGACCTCTAGTGATCCACCTGCCTCAGCCTCCCAAAGTGCTAGGATTATAGGCATGAGCCACCACACCCAGCAGGTTTTGTTTTCTTTTATTAGAGAAAAATGTACTTTTCTATGACTGTGCTTTCTACGTATTTGGAACTGAGACAGATCCACAGAGACCAAACTGAAATTTAAATTATCTTTAATGTTAAAATTTAATTAACCATGTACATAACTGTGCAATTGCTGCTTTCTCACAGAAGTGTCTAGGGTTCATTCAACAGATCATAGAAACAAGTTCTGGCATTTAACAAACAGAAAAATGATAGAGAAGATAAACTGATTTATACAAGAATTATCAAAACATTGTCATGTGGTTTAGTGTAGTTCAAATTATGCTTGTATCATGTAACAGGTTCAAGTTCTTTCTTCAGTCATCAGCATAACCTAGGTTGGAGAGACAACTAAGGGCCAACTCTTCCTAAAGCTGTTTCAAGAAAAAAAAAAAAGTAAATGTGATACACATTTCTGCAAATAAAATATTCTAGTGCTTACATCAATCCTGAGATTTTAAGATTAAATATGCGCTACTTACAGTCTCTGATACAATTCAAAAACATGGCTAGTTATCAAATTCACTGTCTTCATCAGAAAAAACTCCATGATAATAGTCTTCAAACTTCTTGATAACCTAAAACAAAAAGTCTAGTTCACTGACAAACCACCACTTTACATCTAGCACTAAACAGGGTTAATTAAATGTCAAAAGGAAACAGTTTTAATATTCAAAGGATGCTGGTTATTTATTTCAAATTGAAAAAACTGTAGTCAATACATGGAGCTCCAAATACTCACTTAAATGTTTTAATGCCAGATTTCAGTGACATACTATTTTAGCAGGTCCAACAGTCATGTGCTTTGCTTGAATAAAATGGGTTGAAGAACTTCTTAAGGTCAAGATGAAGTAAAGCCAGAAAAAGACTGGCAGTCTTGTATCATGAAATATTATATTTTTTGAGCAGGTAGTGACCCATGTATTATCAGCAATAGTCTATGTAACATGGTTTCCATTGAAGGGATAAAATGGTTGGTGATATGATCTTAACAAGTTAGAGAAAATGTAACTATTTTTGAAGAATATTCTCTCTGCTCAAACATAGTTCAATAGTCCCTGCCCCCTAAAATGTTGTATGTTAATGCTGAGGAAGAAGTAAAAAAATAAATAAATAAATACAGGATCTCTTCCATATTCCTGTGATATGAGCAAATGCACAAATTTTAAAAAAAAAGTAATACAACAATTGTGTAACTGCTGTGGAAGGGCAATTCACTCAAACATGTAGCCAAAGATGGAGACCGATGTGGACTTAGTTGGCAAAAGGTTTCAATTGGTCAAAGAAAAAAGAAAAAAAATTTAAAGCATTGTGAGGGAAGAGCATGAGAAAAGCATGGGAGTAACAGTGAGTTCCTTCAGGGAAGACCGTCAACCTGCAGAGGCGGGAGCAAAGACACAGGGCAGCAAAACAAGCCTAAGATGGGGTCATGTAAAGGGGAGAGTCTCCGAATATCTAAGAACTGAGACATGGGTAGCACTGACAGGCAGGGAAGAGGGAAGGGCTAGGAAGCATTTTGGGAAGGGAAGGGTTTTAGGAAGATAGTATTGGGGATCAATGAAGGATGGCTCAGAATAGAAGAGAGAACTCATAAAAGAGTTTAATAGTACGAGCAAGGCTGAAACAGGAGAATCGTTTGAACCAGGGAGGTGGAGATTGCTGTGAGCCAAGATCGCGCCATTGCACTCCAGCCTGGGCAACAAGAGTGAAAGTCCATCTCAAAATAAATAATTAAATTAAATAGTATGAGAAAGGAAGAATGAGGCTTTGAACTAGTGCAGCCTCAGTGGGAATTTAAAGAAAGACATTTAAGGACCATTGCAGAGGTGAAACTTGCCTGGTGATAACTGGATGGGAAGGATAACGGACTCAGAAGAGTCCAAGATGATAGCAAAGTTCCTACCCTAAGTGGTAACATGCAGCATTAATGTTGACAGGAAAACTTCTAGTTTCATGTTCATACCAATTAATAAATGGTTTCTGGGGAACACTGTAGCAACAAGTTCTCTACTTGTGACTTCTATTTAAATAACTTTGTATAGATCATCCTCAAGTTGCTCGAAAAGGTTATTTTCAAACTATTTTCCCAGTTTATTTAACACATCTCAGTTAGTATGGAAGAGTGACATATGAACATGTATTTTCACAAGGTTATTAAAAAGAATACCTTGCTTCCCTAAAAGTAATTGCATTGTTTCCTAAATTATATACATCTACATGAAGAAGAGGTCATTGTCCAATGACTATTTGCCAATGTGCTGTACGACAGCAGGTAATTCCCAATTCACAATGCGTTAATAATCTGCTGACTTTCCCATTCTGTTATACATCTGAACCATCTCTTATGATTGCAAATTGTCATGTAAAACCATTACTAGTCAATGATAATTTTGTAAGTGAATATGCAGTAAAACACCAGTGTATTACAGCAGGAAACAAAAGAGACACTTAGTAGTTACACTTGCCTACTTCCTATTTATCTAAAACTGTTGAAACAACACAAGTATAAAAGACATCCAGAAATGATTTATGGACTTCCTGCCTTTCACCATAGATTCGCTGCTGATGTCCTGAAAACTGAAAATAAAATCTTCATTAAAACCCATTTCTGCCTAGTGTTCCATTGTTGGAATTCTAAGCTTGTGGGAATCATGTATATCCTACTGTTCAAAGGTCATAGCAGGGTCTGATTTTTTCACACACAAAAAAATTTTGCAACCTCCTGCATAAATAGGTTAATGTGTTAGTAAAGTATCAATTATATACATAAGATGCACATTTCTAGGTAAAATTTCCAATTTACCTTTTCCTATTCTAAATAACTCCCACAAAACTATTCATGAATCCTAAAAACACATTTACCAATTATGTTAAATCTGGAACAATACATTCAAAGTGAAAATGGTGAGTAATTTAAAATGTATAACTAAAATGTCTTTCCATACATTCAGAAAGAAGCAGACTGTCTTCTATTATGCACGTGTTGTATTTTATAATCTATTATGTTACCAAATAGAACAAACCTTTACAAATTCCTCACGTAGCAGCTTCATTGTTCTCAGCCTCTCTCTCCTCAGACTTCTATGTCGGTACCACCTCTTCTGTTGTTCTTGAAATATTTTCTAGAATTACAAAACAAAATAGTGATAAAAATTGGGCAAATTTTAATACTTGCAAAACAATTCTGCATTAACTTTAAAGGAATACTCTTTAAATCAATATTTCTGAACACTTTCTTTTAGACAACATTTAGGACGAATTTTAAACAATTGTGTTCACCAATCACATGCTAAAATGATGTAATAACCTTTTTTATCTGTCATTGAGTAAAAAATTTTCTTTCTTATACATATTCAACACATGTCCTAATTCTTGATTTCAAATGAAGAATATTTGATGAACCTTCCTATAATTTATTGACCATAGATAGTTAAGATCTATACAGAAATTAAGAAACATTCTTTCTAAGATTTTAAACATGTATTAAATTTTGGTCATTTCAATATGCACATAGATGAACCATCCAATAATGACTGCCTTTCTAAACCTTGACCTAGTCTCCAACTACAGTGTTCTTCTCTCCTCTACGTGACACTCACTCACACAGTCATCCCCCTAGATTTTGTCATTACCAATGACTTCAACACCTACATATTATTAATAATAGCAACGATGAAGAGCAACGATGGGTCAGATCACATCCTGAAAAATTTAAATAAACCTGTTACATAGAAACCCTTTAATCCTCCAAACAACTCTTAGGTAGGTACTCTTACCATGTCTCCTTTAGTAGATAAGGAAACTGAAGCACAGAGATAAATAATTTGCCCATGATTTCCGAGCTAGCAATAGTCAAACTGGAGTCGGATCCCAAGCAGTGTGGCTGCAGACTCTCAGCCCTTGACCACCAAATTCAGCTATTTCTCCATCTTCCCAACATACAGCCACTACCTCCCTGCCATTGTGGGTCACTCACTTCAGTAATACAGTTCAAAAGTCTGTTGGGACCTGACACCCACTGAGTGGAGTACTTTTCACTGACCATTGCCCACCCCCATGTGCTCAGGCAACTCAGTCCCAGCTGAAATTCCACAGCCAGTCATCACAACCTCATCCCTGTATCTATGCCCTGCCCAACTCTCCCTAGATCAACATGCTCAGCTACACTCCAACCCAGGAAATTCCAACCCTACAGGAGCTCTTACACAAATATGCCAATTGGGCTGGCTTTAACTTCTTAATTGCTATGACACTGACCTCAGTTGGACCCCTAACGCTGCATGGCAATTAAATTCCCCTAGTCCATGAGTCCACTAACGGGTCCCCCTCTCTGGGCTCATGCTCTCTTCCTTCTTTGCTGGATGTCTGCATGAATTAATACTACCTGAGACATTGATACAATAGGTTAATCATAAATCTAAGCCTGATACCAACAATTAGTTCTTCTTCTTCTTTCTCTTCTTCTTCTTCATCTTTCTGCTCGTATATGATGAATTCATCAAGGACATTCAGCAACTTCAGAGAATGTTTATAATCACGTTTATGCCTGTAACACATAGTAAGTAACATGGTCATATGTCATAAAGAGATGAAAAATTAATCCTATTCAAACCAAAACTGACTTGACATAATTTATACTGTAAAGTAGCAAGGGAGTAATAGCAGCTGAAATCTTGTTTGGGGGGAAAGGTGAAATGAGTTATTCTTATTATGAAGGGATTCCTTCCTAACTGACTACTAGAGCAGCTGTCTTACATTCTTTATGTGCCAAAGACAAAGGAGGGTTTACTGCACTATAAATCTCTCAGAAATAATCATTTTCTCTAAGAGCAGTTTACTTTCATTTCCTCTTACTGAACAACATATGGGTTCTCATAAGTCGGTTCAAGAATATCACAGCCATTCATCCTGTAAGATTTCCCAAAAGAAATACTTCACTTAACTACATCTCTACTTTGGCACAATGATTTTGTAAAATAAATAGTGAAAACAATTTAACTAAAATAGATAACTTATTTATAACAAGTTTATCCCTCTCTACATAATTGAGTATCGTTAAGGATCTGCAGACTAAACATTGAGGACATTTATCTTTTATTCAACTTCCATACTTCTATAAATGGATAAAAATTAATTTTACAGGCAAACTCTTTTTATCTAGAAAGCAAAAAGAGGTCATCTTCATTGGCTTCTAGGTAATATCTTTCAATTCTGTTAAACCGAGGTTATAGAACTAAAGAAACTTACTTAGGGAGCAGTCAAGTAAAATATGTTGTTCACTAGAGACGAAAATATGTACAGGATAATTTTTGAAATTATTTGCACCAACGAATACAAAGAAATAATATAAATATCATTATGCAAAAAAAGCCAACATACTTTTTAAGTTGTTTTTTCCTCAAAGCACGTTTACTTTTCTTTGCTTTGTGGCGAGCCTCTGTATCCATTTCAATCCTTCTTCTTTTTGCAGCAAGATCCTCGCTAATGCCAGCTAGTTAGTAAATGAAAATGCACTAAAAGTTAATGTTGACAATTAGTTTATTTGCATATATTGACATCAATATCGGACAATATGGTTCAGCAATATCAGAAGGATATTTAAAATATATAAAGCAAAGATCATTTCAAAAAGCAAGATTTACTCACTTATTTTCTGTAAAATCTTTCAGGTGTTAATATTACTATTGCAATTCCAATTGGTATAACTGCAAATCACTTAATTGACAGATGATGAAAAAGCAAGTAATTAAAAGTTTCTATTGTTTAAGTGTGCAGAAAAGTTTATAAGCATAGACTTTAATTTCTACATTTATAAAATGTCCTACAATTCAAGGGACATGGTTCCATGAAATACTATCAAAACTCATTATGTAAAGCACACAAAAAAGTATCTTATTTAATAAGACCATCAAAAGGGTAGAAATAAGTTAATATGCAATAAGAAAAGTATTTTTAAGCAATCTACTGATTTATGCTATTAACTGTATTTTAATAAAAGAAGCAAAAAGAAGCAACATCCATGGGTATAAAAATGTAGGTTTATATAAAGAAATACATTCAGAAACACTTTTGAAATACTTTCTTGGAGTTTTTATATGATATTTTTATCCATAGTACTGTGTTTCAGAAAACTGTAATACTGCAAGGAATGCTTTCCTAAACACGATTTTGCATAAGAGATCTACCATCAAGTACTAAGAATAGTTTTCAGCAATCATAAAAGATCTGCACCATAATACAAATATTTTTCAAATACAGTATCAATCTATAACACACTCAATGTATTAGGCAACTCACAAAACCAGCACTTTGTCACCACCAAGCGAGCAAAGCTTTCCAAATATTCTGCTTATGTGTATTATCGCTATAGAAAAGCTGAAAACTGAATTGAGCTTTTTAAAAATAAGAGTATTGTCTCCATCATCTCTACAGAAATTTTCTCAAACTTTTTTGAAAATACGGTCCTGTAACAGTCAGTGCAACTAACATGTAACATGCCTATACAAAATGTATGAGTTTTTGGATCCAATGACATGTTTCCCACTGGGTAGAAAAGTTGTCTTTCCTTTTCTACTACACAGTTTATTGCTGGAATAATAATAGAAAATCATTTTCGAGAATTCAATTTTTTTAAACAAAATCAGAAAGCTGTGACAATAGAATAGCTGAATTAGAAAGATGAAAAACTCCTATTAAACACTCTGAGTACATAGGGACAGGAAGAGGAGAACAACAGACACCTGGGCCTACTTGAGGGTGGCAGGCAGGAGGAGAGTGAGGATGAAAACCACCCAGCAGGTACTATGCTTATAATCCTGGGTGACAAAATAATCTGTACACCAAACCCCTGTGACACGCAATGTATCTAACAAACCTGTACATGTACCCTCAAACCTAAAGTAAAAGATTGAAAAAAAAACTGATATATGACTTAATCTGTGTACACTGAAAGGATTGAATAGAGCTGTTTCTCCTCCAATGTCCTCTAATATCCCCCAACAATTAACTTTCCATGTGTATGAAAGAAAAGCCATCCCTCTCGATTCACCATTGTTAGAAGCATTCTTACATTACACATTAATGATCACAAAGGTAAGAAAAATTTATCAAACAGATTATGGTAAATACTTAAGTTAAATGCTACATATGAGAAGAAGGCATGTAAGACAGTCTGTCATCCACTAATTCACATAACCTACTGTAACAGTTGTACCGTTGAAAACAATTTTCATAAACTACAGATACTTCCTAAGGCATACCTGCAATATCTTCTGGCTTGTTGGTATCAACCCTATAAAAAAAAAAGTTACATCAAAATTTTAACATAGGACTACACAAAATGTCGTGTTTGTTGGGAAAAAATGTCTTATGTGAAATGTTCTGCATAGACTAGAACGGTGATGACATGATCCAAAGCTGACTTTTCCTAAAAGGCTCTATCCGACAGACAACAGTGACTTCACACTTTACCCCTCATATTCATCTGTTTCATCAAGAGGTTCTCTTTCCCCCTGCTCAGCAGTTACATCTTCCTCCTTTGTTTCTGTAAAAGGGTTTCTTTCCTCACGTTCATCAATTACTGGATCCTTTCCTGCATCAAAATTTAAAAGACAAATCCGTTTTTAGAGGAAGACGCTGTTGTGGACATTTTTCATGGAGAAACGTACCGTTTGTGGACTTGTTTTTGGCTGTCTGCCAACTAAAGCTTTAAAGCAGGGCTATACGTGGAATCACCGGCCCCTGACCATTTAATGGAGGCACTTTTGGAAGCCCTTGGGGTTCAAGTCCCAGTAAACGACACACTACAGGTCAGACTCCTTGGACGCCAGGACCTCAGCCATGGAGAAGAGCTACTCTGAGAGCACCTGTAACCCTGCCTGAGGTGGAGCCTCCCGTGGGAAGTCTAAGGCCCTCGAGCCTGCTTTGAAAACCGGAATGTCTTAGCACGTGCACAGTGGACTCCAAAGCCATGAAGAGGCCGGGGACCTTGGGTTGCCAGTGTGATCCCCAGCAGAGATCAGACAGACGTCTCCTTGGGCGTGCGCCTGCTTCCGGGTCCCCTTGGGCTGTGTTTACCTGCATGCTCTTTGTCCTGGGCAGCCATACCTTGAGCTTCCAAGTGGGCCTTGGCAGCCCTCCTGCTGTGCTTTCTGCCCCTGCGTTCCATGGCTGGCCGTCCTGGGAAACTAGAGGCGACCCCGGAACCTGGTGAGCGCAAAGACGACTAAGGAAGCTAAGGAAACGAGGCGTCAGAAAGGAAAGCCATTGGGATCGCGGGTTCAAGATGGGTGGGGTTGGCCCTCCCCGAGTCTCCTGTGGGAGCAGGAGGGAGGGAGAAGATGCCAGTGTCCCCTCCCGTCCTGGCCCGTCCAGCCCGTCCCCGGGGGTGGCTGCAGAGTTCACAGCTGCCTCACACACCTGAACTCCACGGCCTCTGAGGCATCCTACCCGCGCCTTTGGGACAGAGTTTGGCCTTGCCCTTGGATCCCCAAGAGACCCTGAGTGGCTGGGAGGGCGGCGGAGTGACACAGGATCTCCCCAGCCATCTCCAGAGGAATGTCAGGAGCTACACTGCCACTCGCTCTCCTGGATGCACAGGGCACCTCCAGTGACCTGAAGTGTCCTGTTCTGACAGGATGCTGGGCAGGAGAGACCCACTCAGACCGTCCCCCATAACGCCCCCGGCCCGCCTCACTCCCCTCCCCGGCACCGTCAGCCCCTCCCCCTTGCACACCTACAGAAGCACCCAGAACACTCCCTCGTCCTGGGGGGTCACCCAGGTGGCTCCAGCTCCCTCCCTGCTCCAGCCACCCCAGTCTACCCTCAGTGCCTCGCCCTGACCTAGGCCCCAGGTGAGGACCCCAGGACCATTTCCTCACAGGTCAGCTGGCGCCCAGCTCTTCACACCCTGGTTCCCAGACGGTCTTGTGCCCACCTTCCCACCTCCCTGCCTCAAGTGCGTCACCTGAGGGACCCCTGATGTGGCTCCTTCACAGAACCTACAGAAGACACTGGCACTACGAGACTGTCTTAGAAAGAGACCCGGCCTGGCTTCCCACGCTCCTCACTGATTGGTCAGCTCAGTGCGCATGCGCATGCGCATGCCCGTGAAGGACTGTGTGGGGCCAACCCCCTGCTGCCACGCCTCTCCTTCCCCCTAAGGGACCGACCAGGGCTTACTGTTGACTGAAGTTGGGGTGGCCCTTTGGGGCCTCCATCCCCACAATCTTCTGGCTCCTCCTCTTGGGGTGGGATGCAAGGACTCGGAATGGAGGCCAAGTGGACAAGGCCTCCTAGCATCTCGCCCCTGGACTCGTTCCAGCCACCCCTGCCCCTTTGGCTGGAATGGCCATCACCCTATGGGTGGTGCCCAGGCTCCTTTCCATTCCCTGTGTGCTTCCAACATGCCCTGCTGCATCCTTTTTATCAATGGATTGCGCTTTTATGTTTTCTGTTTTTGACACTGAGTCTTGCTCTATTGCCCAGGTTGGAGTGCAGTGGTGCAATCTCGGCTCACTACAACCTCTGCCTCCCGGGTCGAAGCTATCCTTCTGCCTCAACCTCCCGACGAGCTGGGATTACAGGCTCCCAACACCAAGCCCTGCTAATTTTTTAAATTTTCTTTTCTTTTCTTTCTTTTTTTTTTGAGACAGAGTTTTCGCTCGTTACCCAGGCTGGAGTGCAATGGCGCGATCTCGGCTCACCGCAACCTCCGCCTCCTGGGTTCAGGCAATTCTCCTGCCTCAGCCTCCTGAGTAGCTGGGATTACAGGCACGCACCACCATGCCCATCTAATTTTTTGTATTTTTAGTAGAGACGGGGTTTCACCATATTGACCAGGATGGTCTCGATCTCTTGACCTCGTGATCCACCCACCTCGGCCTCCCAAAGCGCTGGGATTACAGGCTTGAGCCACTGCGCCTGGCCTAATTTTCTTATTTTTATTTTTTGGCTGATCTCAAACTCTTGACCTCGGGTGATCCGCCTGCCTATGCCTCTCAAAGTGCTGAGGTTACAGGTGTGAGCCACCCCACCAGGCCCACAACCTTTTTTGTTTCCTCACTACTTTTCTTGCCCACAGGCTTGCCCAGGCTTGCCCACAAACCCTCATGCTCCAGACTTTTCCAGACATATCCCACAACCTTCACCCTCAAATGCCTTAATATCGTTAACTCAGCTTGTTTCCACCTCCAGTCTTCTATAATAGGTCGTAAAGGTTGTTTTGGAGTTGGGAGTGAATAAATACTGCCTAGAGTTGGTAAATCGAGCTACAGAGGTTCATTATGTTATTGAAATTATAAAGGCAGTCATCAGGAAAACTAATCAACAGCCTTTAATGTCTATATAACGAGAAAGAGCACACACAAAGCATACAAATCCTGTGGTAAAAGTTGAAAAATAAAGAAAATACTACAAACAAAGACCATAACATAACATAAAGGAACAGAATTAAGGCCAAGTTAATCTGTTGAGCAAGAAATATGAATGAGATAAACTCACATTCTAAAGGAAATGACTTCCAACTTGGATCCAAATAAAAACCTAAGTACATGCTATATGTAAGAATGGAACTAAAACAAAATGATACAAAAATATGTATCAGAAAAATATGAAGAAAAGGAAAATATGAATCTGGGAATTAATATGTTACAAATGTAAAATAATGTGAAAAAAATAAATGAATAAACTAAAGGCAGAGCACACTGAACAAGAGGAGGGCACAATCTACTCTGACGTGAATCGTTTTGTGCTTAACCCAAAACCCTAGAAAATAGAGGAAAACAACCAATGAAATGCACTGTGATGTGCAAGTTTTAACCCTGTCTATCCAGGAGAAACCAAATACAAATGTATTGCCTTGGATACAGCCATAGTATCTTAAATTGCTCTCTTGGCAGTAGAGTGAGCATTTTCTTTCACTTTCAACCAGTGAACTCTCATCACATCCTATAGTACTTCCTTAGCCATTACTATACTCTATTCTACCTACAGTTTCCGAAAAAAAATAAAAAATTAGAAAGACTTACATTAGCAAATAGGAGAAAAGTTTTCTTGTTGTTGTGTGTGTACATGTCTGCATGTGAATGTGTGTGTGTGTGTGTGTGTGTGTGTGATGTTTGTTGTTTGTTTCAAATGGAGTTTTACTCTTGTCCCCCAGACTAGAGTGCAGTGGCAAAATCTTGGCTCACTACAACCTCTGCCTCCTGAGTTCAAGTAATTCTCCTGCCTCAGCTTCTAAAGTAGCTGGAATTACAGGCGCCTGACACCACACCAGGCTAATTTTGTGTGTTTAGCAGAGATGGGGTTTCAACATATTGACCAGGTTGGTCTTGAACTCCTGACCTCAAGTGATCTGCCCTCCTCAGCCTCCCAAAGTGCTGGGATTATAGGCATGAGCCACTGTGCCTGACCTGGTTTTGTTTGTTTATTTAACATGAAAGCCAGCACTAAATGACCTTCAAATTATCTTCATAACTTAAAAATACACGTTCACATGATATCTTTTTCACTTTCAGTGTGAAAAAAGCATGGAAGGTAATGCTCCATTTTGGTGCACTAAAGCATAGTGGTGTTGTATTTGAGAAGAAAGAAAAGGAGCTGTGGTCTGGCGACTGATGCCCACAGCACTGCAAAAAGCCACCTTAGAGCTGTTTCAGGCTGTTTTAAGTTCCAGATCATTTTGAATTCCTGCCCTAGAAGCTGTACATACTCAGAGAAAGAGTTCAGTCTTGGCCCATGATATTGTACTGAATACCTCAGACACTTTTCTACAGACTAAATAACATAAACTCCTTTTACTTTTCTTCAAAGTTCTTAAAATGAAACTTCGATAATGTCTCCTTGAAGCTGTTAGGAGTGCTTCAAAATTCTCTCTTTCTTTTGTATTGTCTTTTCTTGTTTGTTTGGTTTTGGTATAAAGAAAGCCTAAACCTGGATGCAGTTAGTAGGAATCTGAGAAGGCTAAGTTCAAAATCTCAGAGGAGATTTTCTTTATATTTTCAATGTTTTATAGTCCTTTCATAAATTCTGATATGAATACTTTCCTAGTAAGAATATTTGTATCATAGTTTAACATTTCATTTATCTTTGTGTGCAAACTAGCATTTGTTTTATTAAAACAATCTAAATGTATTAAGGAATTAGATTATAGGGAAATTAAATTAAAACATAATTTAAAAGAAATTATTATATCCAAATACAGAAAGACAGAGGCATAAAGATGTTGTGACCGAGTCCATGAGGAAGGGAGTCAGGGAAAATGATGTACCAGACTATTGAGTGGCTTGTACACTGTATTAGTCCATTTTCAAATTGCTATAAAGAACCAAGACTGGGTAATTAATGAAGAAAAACAGTTTAATTGACTCACAGTTCCACAAGCTATCCAGCAAGTGTGGCTGGGGAAGTCCCAGGAAAGTTACAATCATGGCGGAAGGTGAAGGGAAAGCAGGCAATGTCTTCACATGGCGGAGCAGGAGGAAGAGAGTGAAGGGGAAGGTGCTACACACTTTTAAACAACCAGATCTCATGAGGACTCACTCACTATCAAGAGAACAGCAAGGGAGAAGTCTGCCCTCATGATCTAATCACCTCCCACCAGGCCCCTCCTCCAACATAAGGGTTACAATATGACATGAGACTTGTGTGGGGACACAGAGCCAAACCATATCAGACAGAAAGTCGAGCTCTTCATAAAGCACGAATGTTCCAAATTGAAAGAAAGGTAAGCTAGCTTTTTCCAAATGCCAACCTCCAAAGACCTCCAGATTAGGACTTCAAACATGTTTCAGGTTTTCACATGGCTCTCCTCTTATTGGACCGCTATCCAGGGAAACCAAAATTTACCCCACCCACATGCCTCTGATATTATTAATGTTCCTTCCTAGGCAGACAAATCCTATCAGAATTTCAAACCTACCCTAAATGTTTCCTCTTTAATGCAGTCATTCACCCAATGCTTTTAAATATGTGAGACACTCTTTCTCTTTGCAATGCATTTAGAGCTTTTATCTGTCATGGGAAATTTGCCTTATATTGCAGTTATTTGGGAAGTCATATTCCCCATTAAACTATATCTGAAGGTCAAGAACAGTTTTACAGGTATCTGTATAATATGGAGTACTCAATGTACACTGACCATATTGAATCTGACAAAATTGAAATTAATGGAGCTTTTTATCTTTAAAACAGAAAAATAATAACAAAAAAGCCACAACTCACAGAGTACTTGAACTTGCATCATTCTGCTAAGTGGTATTTTTATGAGTTCTAAATGCTCTGCACTATGCTAATGAAAGACAAGGTTGCAAATTATTGCCTGGGCTTCCCAGAGAGATGTTGATACAGGACTCTGACCTGCTAGTTAAAAAAAAAAAAAAAAAAAAAAAAACTTTTCTCTCAGCATAGAAAAACAGGTTCCTGATGTGTAGTAGAGGCAAGCTCCTTTCTAAATTATGTGCAGACAACACTGCTCTGTGTATTTTAAGTGAATTAGTGTCTTTCTGTAATCCCTGAAGGTCTCCATAATTCCTTGTTAACATGATGGGGTTTCTGATGTGCTTTTCTCCCTGCACAGTCATAAGTTACTACAGAGAATGGCACTCAGAAGTCAACAAAAGCTCTTTATCAAGTATGACTACAAAATAATAGAACTCAGA